ACCAATTGGAAAAAAATAGAAAATGCATAGTTTCTGCAGTTGCTATGTTAGTTGTCTGATGCTGCTAGGTTAGTTGTCTGATTGTGCTAGGTTAGTTGTCTGATTGTGCAAGGTTAGTGTCCGCATTTTAAGAGCTGGCCTCATTTTAAGAGTTGGCCTCATTTGATCCGCCCCCTATATATATATATATATAGAGAGAGAGAGAGAGAGAGAGAGAGAGAGAGAGATTGTTTCTTAAGATAAAAATTCAGTTTAATGAGAATACATTTTCTTCCAAAAGAAAAGAAAGTTGTAATTTTCTAGTTGTGATCTTTTAGTGGCATTACAATTGAGGGTATGTTTGGTAAGCCAAATAAGCTAGCTTATAGCTTATTTTAAGTTTAGATTGATTAGTACAGTTAAGGTAGGACAAATGTAATAACTATAGGGGGTGTCTATATGTACACCCCCTCAAGTGTAAAAAAGGGGTGTACATATAGCATTTTTCTTTGTGTAATTTATTAAAAGGGGGTATACATATAGCATTGCCCTAACTATAACTATTAATATAATATATAATAACATAAATAGGTAACTTACAAGTTACAACCTAAGATTATGATAATTTGTTTTCATTAAAAACAATTTAGGAAAATAAAAAGATTCTTGATGGAATCCTCTCACAAATTGCTGTCATCATCAACAAGACACCCCAAAAAAGCTGCCAACGAATGTGAGTTGTGTGTGTTAGTGCTTTTTCGGCTTTGACAACCTCTTCTCAACCACACACACATATGATATTAAAATATGCTATATTCATATATAGCATACTTTCCATTATAATTATCTGTAAAAGAATATTATTACTAAAATGAAGTTGTCATTTTTCTTATGTCAGTGGCTCATCACCATTAAATGGTGGGGCTAACCAAACATAACAAATTTTAATGAATAAATGTGTATCATTAATAGGAATGCAAAGATTGTATGTCAGTGGCTCATCACCATTAAATGGTGGGGCTAACCAAACATAACAAATTTTAATGAATAAATGTGTATCATTAATAGGAATGCAAAGATTGTGAATATGGTTTTGAGATGGTAAAAAGATTCCGAAGTGTTGGAAACAACAGGCTGGTTGCTGTTGGGCCCATGTTGATGAGGCCAATGCATTGTTTTTACTATAGCGTGTATTTCATCCTCAGCGCCATAATTTGGATCCCGCGACTCTTCTGCTCCAGCCGCATTTGGAATCTGTCTTTTTTGAGGTCTCCGAGCATCTTTGTGATGAAATTCGCCATGGTCCGATTGAAAGTCGTCGGAATCTAGGTTGGCGCTCTGCCTAATGTGTCGGGATTTGCCGAGTTCCTTGCTTGTTCCAGTTAGCTTCATGTTCTTTTCGAAATTGAGCTTTTTCTGTATGAGTTTGATTTTTTCTCTGGCCAAGATTTGCTTGATACGAGTTCTCGATCGTCTGTGTGCATCAACACCGGCACCGAGAGTTGGTGGGTCGCCTGCTATGGGAGGCAATTTGGTTTTTGCCATGAAAATAGAACCTAGGGTTTACAGATGTAGGAGTTGCGTTGTTTGTGGGTTTGGACGTGTGAGATGAGCGATAATTGATTATGTGCGATAGTGGGGGTAGTTTTGATTTTATTTGGTAAGTTATCCCACAAAATCAGCGTTAACTGAATAAATATATTATTGCACTCCAAATTAATTTTTCGTATAATTGCAATACAAATGACATGAATTAGTAATTTTGCTAAATTTAATTATTGAAGTGTAAAATTGTAAATAAATATATCTAGAGTCGTGCACCATATAATTTCCTCTATATTTTTCCAGGCTAGATGAAACTTTAGAACATGGGTCTGGCCCAATTTAAACATTATTCAGCATAACAGGTAATAAACCATGCAACCACAAATTTTGCTGTCACGTGACGTGTTTGACAATTAACTGATAAGGATTATTGATTGTTAATTGTATTAGCGAACAGTTAAAAAGGGTTTTGTATTACCCTTGTATTAGCCGATTTCAGTGTCTGTTACAACTTGTCAAATAGTCACTAGACAGCTCTGCCTGTAATTACCTAATTATAATATACACTAACAACAAAGTTGTGCATGATAATTCGTGTCATTCACGAGTCATACTAAAATAGGACTGAATGCAGCGGAAAAAGTTTACCTCATTAACACAAGCAGAGTCGAGTCGAGACGTCAAGCCACGTCATATGACCGAGTAACTGTATTCGTCTTCCTGGTGTCCTAATCGATGCTGGTCCTCCAGTGTAGAAAAACACCAGTAGACCATAAAAGCCACTGCAAATTGTTTTTAACAAGCCAGGAGAATAAAAATAATGAGAGCTGTCTCTTTATGTAGCTAACTGCAATATTGTTACAAATGCTGAAAAGGTAGCTAACTGCAATATTTATTAAACACAACAGCTTCTTTAAACAATAGAACCAGACGAAAAATGTAGTTGTGGCAAAGAGGAAGGTACAGAGTGCCTTCTGCTTAGTACAATTCTTGGGGAGAACAAGGATTAGATTTACTAAGTAATGTCTCGAACAAGCTAACAGTAAACTGAAATGACAATGTCAAAGTCGCGACAGATAGGAAGCTAATAATTAAAGTGGCAAGCTGCAGCAAGATTTCTAGCAATGTAGAATTGAATTTTTCTTGCATCCAATCATTTCTTTGGAGCCTTTGACCAATCACTCGAGCAATTTTCCTGAGCATTAGGTTTTCCTTTAAACGCATGATATATAAAAGAGCTCCTGACTATTTAAGAAAGAAAAATAAATAGAAACATAAAAGGAACTCAAGGGCCATATTCGTCTCCAACTTCAGTTTTATTCACATCTCATATGAATTCAAGAACATAAATTCGAAGGAAGGATTGGTCAACGAAATATGTACCAACGACTGAACCTTGATATACCCCAGAACAGTACATTTTTGTCTATCTATTAGTGTGTACTGCATAATTAACAGAACAATACAAATTTGCTTTAAGAAATCAAGCATAATAGAAAAAGATTAAAGGTAAAAATATAATAGAGCAAGAATACAGAAAGAAAAGAAGGGTTTTTTCACATTGTATACTAATATTCTCTTCTTTTTGGTTATAAGTACTAAAACAGTGGTTCATTTGACAGGAAAATGATAGAATTGCGCAACAAAACCCAATCATTTCAGAACTGAAGGAAAAGAACATTAAAAACAATACCAAAGAAGTGTGAAACAGTGTGGAATGAGATTGTGTGAAGACTTTCCCTGCAAAACAGTTGGAACAGATTAGTATGTTCACCATAAATATGACTAAATTATATTTAACATAACATCTCGAGCTTATTACACAAAATCCATGGAACAAATTATTGTATCCAATTACAAACCTTGAAACTACATGGCTGCCTTGGTTTTGCCGGCGAACAATGAAAGGCAGAAGTGAGGACAAATGACACTTTACAAATAACAAACTTTCAACTTCACTGTGTCATGTTTCAATTTCATTAATTATCTGATTGGACTGACTACTGAAAAGAGCATTTAAATTGACTACTGAAGTCTATGCCGGCAGAACATATAAATATTGTGGTGCGCAAAAAGGAAGAACTATTAAGGGAGAAAGTGAAAAAATGTCCTGTGCAAAAGAGTGAACAGCCTTAAGGTAGTTGTATCGTTCAAACAAAGAAACAAAAGCATGGAAGACAAATTGAAAGAAATGCATGAAATATAGTAAGAAATAAGTTTCGGAATTGCAGAGGTAGAGAAGGTGAAAGGCAACTACTTGCCGTGACCCTTCATAATCTGAAAGTGGAAGGAAAATTAGCTGAATCGAACAATGTGAAATGTGAGACACGATAGAGCATTTAACAGCAGAGAATATACGTGTACATCAATAGTACATTTCCCAAATCATATCGACAAAATTAGGAAAAATAAAGAAATAATTTCGGGGAAAACCACTTGAGAAGATGTTTTTTATTACCCAACAGCGAGCACCTTACATCTGTTCCTGCTTTTAGGAAGTTAACTCAACATCCATCTTCAAGAGAAAAACTAAATAAGAATTCAAAACTAACCTCCTTCAAAGTGAAATACAGAAAATGTTGAACTATTAACACTCTTATCTGGACAATCTAATTTTTTTACTAAGCGCATAGACGTGCAAAGAAGTGCTGCACTGGTCAACACCAACATTGTTTGAGCTGCAACAATGCCACCTTACATTTAATATTCAAAATAAATCTCATTTTTAATATAACTAACAATAGAAGGTATGTAACATAAGCCAAGTCCAGGAATGCGTACTTCAGGCTACAATCTTCTCTGTGCGGTCTGGTTATTGTTATCCTTCCAGACCAGTTTACTTTGCCCTCTAATTCCATTCATCGAAAATGACAGCATCTGCAGTTGGTTAAATGTGTGTTAAAAGATGAAAAATTTCAATATAGTGAGAAGTATTGTTGGCTTACCCGTCTTGCTCTCTTATCAACTGGAGTCCATGTTGGGGATGAGGTAGCAGAAGCACTTTTGTTCTTCAGTGAACTTAATGGTTGTGAAGATCTCTTTAGTCTATTTTTTTCAACTTTTTTCAGTGGGGTGTTGCCTCCATCATACTTGTAGAGTTCAAGAATCGAAGGACTCTTCCTTTTGGTAATATTTGAGATGTCCACAGAAGAACCAAAAGCAGGGGGGGATGATATGTCATAAGAAGCAGACTGCTTTCTCAATCTACTCTTTTCCCGTATTCTATTTAAGAACTCGACTGTCCAGGGAGATCCTCGAGGAGGAGTAGAGCGAAGAGCATTTTTTAGTGGAGTGCCACCAGCACTTTGAACACATTTTTCTTGGATTGACATTTTGTAGGAATTTGTTGGAATTTTTCCCATATTATTCTCTTGCACCAGCTCATTTCGGTTCACCATAGTATAACTGTTTCGGTTAATAGTATCAAAATATGGTTTAATTCCTTTTCTCAAAGCTTGTGTATCATCCCTAGAAACCCAGGCAACAGGTGCAGAATCATCGTCGATCGAATTTGTAAACTGGGGAAGGTCTGGCGTACTCAGAGGTCGTTTATTAATTCTGGAACTCCTTTGAGCATAACCTTTCTCAACATAATGAGCAAATGGAAAGCTAGCAGAATTTCCAGCTGTGAAGTGTTCTTTAAATTCTGGAGTATCCTCTAAATCAACAACTTCACCGGTAAAATTCTCCTGCAAAGTTGCAGTCACCCTGTTACTTTGTGTGCCAAAGTTGTTCTTTGCTGCTGTAGCTGAGCTCCATCTTGGAGGACAATCTAAGTCAAACTGAGGCATCCACGGCTTCTCTCTCTCATCTGATATATTAATACCTTTAGTCAACGGGAAATCTGGAAGGCTTGACTTCATCATATCAGCATCATTATCCAGACAATGACCGGGTAACTTGTCATCAAAACACATATCGATTGGTGCCAATTTATTGTATATTTCATTACTTCCTGAGAGCCAAGCATTGCACGGTGCAGACAATTTGGACAGATTAAGTTGGTCACCTGGATTTAACTTCAGTGATTCTGTATGAAACAAACATTCTGGAGGCTCACCAGGATCATAAAGGTTGTGTGTGTATCTTGGTTTCTTCCTCTCGGATGCAATTTTGGGTTCGGCATTTTCGAAATCTGGAACTGATACAGAAGAGCTATTTGTCAAACCAGATTTAGAATCCTCTTGCTCTCCATATCTGCATATTGCACTTAGTAGAGCAACACTTTCATCATGAACCTTGTATTTTTTAAGAGCCAAGACTCTGCCCTCATTCGACAGTTCCAAGAACTTCCCTAGTATGGTATCTGATGACAATATTGCATGAGCTGAAAGAGGATTAATAGAAGGAAATGCAGTGAGAAATGATTCTGCTAGGCCCTCCGATTCCGACATTCTGGGGTAGAGGTCCCCACTCAACCCTGCTGCAACATTGATGCAAGAGATTATGATCTCTTCAGTCATCTCATACGAATATGAGTAAAAAATCTGTATGTCAACTCCCAAGCTAGCCCCTGCAGCATAGAGTTCGTCTGATGATTCCATAATGCTACATAAGAAATTTAAATCTCCTTCAAATATCTGCAAGGAAAAGTAAAAGCAGGAACTGAATCAGTGACAAAGCTATCAAAGCTATAGTGTGACAATCTTAGAGAAGGTATAGTTCAATTAAAAACCAAGACGATATATAACAGGATAAATTTCTATCAGAGCACTTCAATTTTTGATGCTTCAATTAATGGTGATGAATAACTGGTGATATGATTATACAATTAAGATAGATGAAATTGGCATGATAACAAAGAGCCGAAGGACTCATTCCTCCAGAACTTATGCTGGTATCCTGCTGAACAATATTTTCACCACTAAAAAGATGTGCTCAATTGACATAATAATCAGAATCTCAAAATAAAAGCAGCAACTGATAATTGATCTAATATTAAACTTTCAGAAATAAAATTACCAGGATGCAGCAACCGAAAGCAAAGCTCAAGGAAGTCAAGATACTCGCTGCAATGCTTTCAACACATAAAGGCAAGCATGAAAATGCCTCATCTGGAGCTGAAGCTTTCCTTCCAATATTTCTGCAGTCATACCAAGAGAGACAAACTGCTGAACTTACTATTATGTCAACAGGCAAGACTACGTCCCGTTCCACAACTTGTGCTCCTTCTTGCTCCATTTCAAGAATCCTTTGGTAAGTACTTCTCCTGGAGATTATCATTTCTTCGTTGAAGTTTCGGGTATTTACAATTATTATGGTTTTGGGGCACAGAGGCTTGCAAGACAAGTTTTGCTTGGATTCCAAACCCACTGGTATTGATTGAACTGGCATCCTATGGCAGTGTTCTTCATGCACAACTTCATTACCATAGATCCCTTCACCAGGTACAGGATTTAATAGCTCTTCCAACTTAGTTTCACAATCCTGTTGTTGCAATGCAGAATCAAAAGGACTTTTCTGGCACCATGATTGAATAAGACTAACAACAGTTTACAAAAATACTTAAAAATTGACTGTAACTAATCAGCAAATATGATGCAACAAAAAAAAAAAAGGATAC